GACCGGAAGTTCCCCTACCGGGCCAGTCGCAGAGGCCCGGCGGCCAAATTTTGTTGCTCTTGCTTATCTTCAAAGTAATGGTTGTAAAGGCTGAAATGGGAGTGCTATACTTCAGTTTGAAGGAAAGAGAGGCCGAGGCCGGGGCTGCTCCCAGGAGGGAAAGCTAAATATTTTCAAATAGACATTTTGCTTCCAGTAGAGAAGCAGTATTACCAGATGGGTAGAAGGCTCTAATTCAGTGCTTTTCATAAGATTGTATTCAGTGACTATGTAATTGTGAGGTTCAACAACATAATCTGAGTATGTGTTTTTTCTCAATGAAAATTACAATTTATAAAATAGACACAATTCTCCATCCTTCCTTACATGCATCTTTCATACAACCATAGCTTTATTATGGTGTACGTGCTCTAGGTTTCTCTAGGGGATGTATCTAGAAGTGGAACTACTACTAGGTTGTACACTATGTACATACTTAACCCTACCAGACAGCGCTAAACTTATCTATGTTTTTAACTCTTGTTGAATATTTTTAAGTTGAAAATACTTGGTAATATACATGGTGTTGCAGTCAATAACTTTCTTGCATGTAATATTTTCCTCTTTTGTGTTACTCCTTTGGATATAAACATTTTGTTGAAGGCAAATTGCTTTTAATAGATAGTACTTATCTGCTGTATTACCATAAATTGTGATGAGGGTAAGGTGGGAGTGTTGTGATATTGTTTAAATAAAAGTAATTAACCATGAAAGTGGAGCATAAACAGAATATTCCTTAATTATTTTATTGTTCCTAATGGGGATAGCAGCCATCAAACCAGTTAAATATACCATTAAATAGAGCATTAAGAAGAGCACAATCTACTAAAAAATTGTTCATTATATATAATAAATTGGATAACAAAATCACTTAGTCTTTGAACTAAATTTTTAGTTTGAATCTTTTATTGGTGTGATAAAAATTAGATTTGTTTTGAAGTATATATATGCTTTGACCAAAAAACAATCAAATTTTAGATTTACTGAGTGTATGTATTTTTTTCATGGCTATTAGTTATTATGCTCTTTGCTCTCATTTTCCTCAAACCTCTCCTGTTTTAAAGAGAAGGCATACAGTTTACTTTGGATTTCAGGATTAGGAATTAAATGTCTGTGTTCTTTCATTTAAATCACTATGTCAGTGTTTATTTGATCATTAAGGCAAGGATTCTGAATGCTAATTTGTTTCTAAATATCTCAAGGGATAACCTGAAATTAAAATAATTTTTTAAAGTTGATCCATAGTTTAAAATTTTACTAATGTTTACTTTTAATAGGAAGGTAGAAATCTAAAGTGAGATAGATTTACAGCAGTTGGAAATATACATAGTAAGAAAACAGTACAAAATATATTCAGGATCCTCTTCCTAGTCTTACATGTCTTTCAGATCAGCTGAGCTGTCTGAAAATTTATGCTTTAGGTTCATTGAAATATGATTAAGAATGGATATCAAGAACCAAAAAGGACTCATTTATTTATCTTCATCTTAACATTTTAGGCATTGAAGAAATTCTGCTCTGTAATGAACAATCTCTAAAATTTTGGTTCCTTGGTTATTTAAAACAAAAGCCATGGAAGGACTTTAAAGTGATTAAGTAACTGAACTTAGTCTTTAGGTACTTCATAAAATCCACTTTACCTAGAGCAAAAAGATTCAGGATAATGGAACCTGTGGTGGCCTAAATGGCCCATAGCTTAACTGCCTGCACTTGAGGGGACTAGAACAAATTCAGGTTAAGCATGTCTACTATAACTATGTTTAGTTTCAAGGAACTGGTAATAAGTAAGCCTGTTGGTTTATAAAATTGTAGAAATAGAATATCGAACTAAACTAAGACATGGTGTCAGCTACCTTGGCTCAGCCGTTGAGTATTGACCTATGGTCCAGATCTCAGTTCGATTCCCAGTCAGGGCACATGCCTGAGAATGCGGGCTCAATCCCCAGCAGGGGACATGCAGGAGGTGGCCGATCGATGGCTCTCTATCATTGATGTTTCTATATCTGTCTCCCTCTCCCTGCCTCTCTCTCTGAAATCAATAAAAATATATTTTAAAAAACCAACAAAGACATGATAATTGACACTTAAGGAAAGTTGAAATATTTGTTAAAGCATCAGTGTTAGAGCTGAGAATCTGAAACTAAACAAAAGAAAGCCTTTAAACTGATGAAGTATGTATAGAGCAAATACACTAAAGTTTATGAGCCACTCAGAAGATTGTTTATTTTACCCATTCTGTGAGCCAAAACATAGTCTAAACATATTGAGAGTTTTTAACTTGCACACAAGTTTAACTTTGGTTGTCTGAATTTGCACATTTTAAAGGACAGTCATGCACTGCATAATGACATTTTGGTCACCTATGGACCATGCATACAACAGTGGTCCCATAAGATCATAATGGAGCTAAAAAATCCCTATTGCCTTCAAGTCATAGCCATTGTAGTGTCATAGGACAATGCATTACTCACATTCGTGGTGATGCTGGTGTAAATACACCCAGTGCACTGCCAGTCGTATAAAAGTACAGCACATA